ATCACAATGTTCCATATAAATGGTCCAGCACTGGACCCTTGTGGGCAAGCTGTAACCACATCCCTGTAGACAACGTCGCTTCTATTGACAACACAAGCACGCCTTAGAGAGAAATAGGTTGTTCAGAGTTTAATATCCAGGCAATTGACCTCTCCCAGTCTGACAAGTATGTTGTTGCAATTAAAATGCTCAAACGCAGCCTTAAGGCCGCTAAATATGCCTGACACTTATTTCTGGTCACAATCCTTAACACATGTTTGTACATGTGCCCAGGCATCTTCAGCACGGAGGACCTTGCGGAAGCCGAACTGTCTATTAGACAGACTAAGAATAGGAATCATCTAAATGCTTTCTATCATTACTCTCTTTAGAACTTTTTCGAGCACTGGCAGGAGTCTGACACCACGATAAGACGAAGGATCGCCCCTCAGTTGACTTCAGAAAGGCCCAAAGTCGGTCCCTTCTGATCTACGATCTTCTTAACCGTCTCCGTAGGTGTGTCCGCAGTATTTTTATTACCTCAGACTAGATTTCCGATGGTTTCGGCGATACAACATTTCGTGCAGCTTCAGCAACGTGAAGTGGAATGGACCTTTTTAGGGGTATCCCACCCAAGAGGCAGATATAAAACAGCTAACGCCCTTTTCTAACTGTTCTATTCGGCCTCTAAGGCGCGCATATTCAGCCATCAACACGAAAAAGATAGCATTGTATTGGCCGCCCAAGGACAAGAGATCGCTGGCAGCCCCAAATCAGACATTGTGTGGTGAGAGGGCGCACTTCTGAAGGCGAGTGGTGTCCACCGACCCGGCTACAGCACTCAGTTCCTTCGCACGCACTGGCCTGCTACACGCTCAAACTGCCACGTCAGCTACAGGAACGGAGGTGACGGATGCAACTGCAGATCCGGCTTTACTGTCCCGCTTCTTCATAGTGCCCGAGCGACTAGCGGAAACATCGAATCGCTCCGACGCATATTGAAATCAACCACAGTGCCGTTATGCGATACTCTGGACGAACTGCGGTCGCGTTTTCCATCACTGCCTTTAAATGAACCAGTCTCTTGGCCATCCTTCGCTGCCAACACATCATCGTCGGAGGACGCGATTTCTGTATCGGATGATACTTCCACAACACTCTTTAAGCCTGGGTTCTTCTTTTTACTCTTACCGATGTCTGTGCACTGGTTGTGAGATATATTCGAATATCTCGTTCAGTACACTTCGTATAATAGATAAGACGAAGTGAATTTAGGTTGTATATAATTAAATTATGTATGTATAAACAAATATATAAGAAAATAATGATACTCAACCCAATAATTTGTCAAAAAATAGGTTGCGCACCTTTGTCTACTCTGCAACAAATGACGCCGGAAACTAAACAGCAGCTCAGAAATTGTCTCAACCATCTCAATAATAAATAAAATTTCGCTTACCACCAATTTTGAGCGAAACAAATAGATTTGTATAATACTGCGCCCACACCGATAACACGTCCGTTCACTTCTATTTTTTAACTATTTAAATTTACGATTTAAACTTGGGTTGAGATTGTAGAAGGATCACTAACAAAGCAAATTCTCATCCATTGGTGGAAAAACCATATAAAACTTTGGTTGTGAAAAGAAACCCGGAAAGAAAGAATAAGTAAAGTGAAGAAAAAGTTTTTAGATTGTCGGAGAAGTATAGTAATATCTCCATAGAAAACGTCTGCCCTAAGGTTTACACAACTCACTACATTATGCTTTTTAAATAAATGTCGTTAAAAGAGTTCAGGTTGCAATATTGAGAAGTTTTTCGTTATAGTTTCACAATTTTATGCTGCATACAAGATCTTTTTATTTCAAACATCAGAAAATCAAACCATAGGCTTTTGCATGACTTGCAAGTCTGACCTAATACTCTATAGTAACCGGGCTTTGAATTAGAGATACAAAAAACGATCAAAAAACCATGCGAAAAGGATAGAACAGCCAATAGCCAAAATGTCAATTACAAGTAAGCCAAAAAGGATATGGCAAAAGACGCGTTTTAATCTACAATGAAAACACTCCCGTGTAAAAAAATAACTCTGCATTAATAGTTTTTAACTGTTTTATTCGTTACCTTTACTTAGCAACGCAAAATGCAAGGATCTTTTGTGTTTTTCTTTCTTTTGTAAGCTAATGTTACCAATAACACGCTTTTTCAAAAATTCTTTATACTTCATAGAAAATTATTTACCCATTTATTTTTGTTACTTATATACTAAAAAAGAAATTATGAATCTTATCCACACACGAAATTCCAATCATTCTACGAAAAGAGAGACGAAGTTATAATAAAATCGAGCATTTTATAAACTTTGCGAGATAAGAGGATGGCAACACAACTCAATAGCGATTTTTGCATAAGTCAATTGCCAATGTACGAAGTAATCGAATACGTAGATGCGCAACATGTATTATGCTAAATAAACATTCAAATTAATGACCGCAAAAAAAAAAAGAATTATAAAAAAAAAAACACTTTCACAATAGAGAATATACTATTATATGCGCATCTCTCTTAAAGTCATCTATAATTGCCATGCTTTTGGATTTAAATTTAAGATTTTTTGCATTAATTTTATTTTATGGACGCACGTCAATTAGATGTAACGATCAAGACGCCTCTGTAAACGGCGTGTACTTGCTTGTTGCAATACGCAAAATTTTGCTTAAAGTAGCAATAACAGTATAAACATAGTATATAGAAGTAGTGCATATATATCATATTGTATATATTGGCACATCTATAGTGCCGTTAATTCGTTGGTATTCAGAAATAATGACGCAAAAAACACCCACAATAATAAAAATATTCCGTAACACAAACATAACCGACCGCAATTTTTTTTAGTACGAAACTCGAATCTTTACTCCGCAAATTTATTAATTAATTTGAGGTTTGCCAACATATTACAAGACTGCCAACTTTTTTACTTTATAAATATATCTTAACAATTACCATCAATCTTAAAAGTATTGTTCATCCCTACATATATATGTATATATGTGTCTATGAATGCATGTACTATTGTTGTGCACTATTTATGTAACATTGTTGCATATATGTTGCGTATGTTTATGTACATATACGGACATACGGATGTATTATATATATATATATATATATATATGTGTGTAAGCCTGTGTAAAAATATATATACATATATAAATACATATACATATATAATAAATGTATACATATATTATGGACATATTTACATACACGGATATATACGAATGTATATATATTGGCTTAAATATATATCAATAATAACGACAACTAAACATTTTTTCTATGCCGTACGCATCTATAAGCATAAATGACATTTCAATAGCTTGTAAAATGATGAGTAAACCCTTAAACACGTAAACAACGAGAAGTCATGTACGAAAATGGCAATAATTACTTCATATACAAACGCGTTTCCGGTAACTAAAAATTTATTAATTTTTGAAACATTGAATTTTATATAATGAGCATCTATAGCGAACACGGACTTGAAATTGAAGTCGAGTATCAATTCTCTCGAGTAGTTTAAAGCCATGATTCGACTCATGTACATAACAGCCTTTTTAATTATTTTATTTTCGTTTACCTTTTATATATAAAGTATAAAATTTCTTATCATATTGTTATTATCCTTAATAGCTTATTGATCGGAAAGCAAATAACAATACAATGGAATTCACAAACACAAACGACAATACAGGTCAGCCTAAGGTGCCAAAATTGGAGAAAAAGAAAACAAACGAAAATTTTACTGCGTTTAATTTTGAGCGGATTTTGCACATCTAACGCTGCGTTATGACGTAATTAACGGAATATTAAATTAGTAAGCCATTTCTTCATCGGGAGTGACTACACTAACTTTGCCACATATCCAATTGTGACTTCTCGCAGTTTCTACTTACTAATGACTTCATCAAGTGCATATAGTTTATTAATCGAACTCATTGATAACACATCACTTAATAAGTCCCTTGTCCGACTAATATTTGGCCACACTGATGGCAGATATGTTCTTGAAACATAGACAATTTTTCAAAATGGTGTGAATGAATCCGCAAACGCACCTATGGTAAGTGATAACATTAGCGCAAAAAAAAAAAAATGAAAATTTCTATTTCAATATCTATGGATATTGCGTAGACTAAGTTTCCAAGTGTGTTGCGGATTAATAATGTTCGGAATGATTGTTGTAAACTTACTTTATATAATGCATATTCAAGTCGAATATGCTAATACTGTTTATAAATGCACAGTTTGCACAGATTTATTTACCAGTCTAAACTTCCGCAAAAGCCGCAAAACAGTTAATCGATTAATAGTGAAATAATGTTTCACTAGTATAGTGAATAGTTAATTGTTGGTGGATTGAAGTCTTAGCCTAATGACATCAATATAGATTTGGCTAACTTTTGGACATGAAAGCGGTTTTCAATTTTCGAAAATAAAAACATACAAGACGCGTCTAAGATATCCGTTGTCGTCTTTTACTTTAAAATATAATTAAAATTTGGTATCCACACTTTCGTAAAATATCAGCACAACTTTTATCTTTCGATGCACACACGATGCACGAAATTTTATTCATTTAACACGCTATGTGATATTTTAGACGACCGAATCTTTGTTTCAATTTTTCGCTTTGGTTCGACTTTTAGCCAGTTGAAAAAACTATCCAATGAATATTACCGGCTTTGAGGCATTGTATTCAAACTTAATATATTCACTAATATTGTCAAAAAATAACCTAAGTTTCATAAAAATATAATATTCTTAAAAATATTTGTTAGATTTCGTTTTTTATATTTGATTTTCGTCGCGAAAGTGCAATGTGAAATAAAAAGTTGCAGCCTAAATAAGTTTGAAAAAGGAATGTAAACGCCAAGGTTTTCGTCATCCATTTGGATATGTATACGTGTTTCTCTAAGTTTTATGTCATTAAGGACACTTTTTTTTACTTACTTTCACCGGTATTAGATGGCTCCAATGTCCAAAGTTGTTTCTTTTTTAAACTAGCTCCGTTCGCATTCAATTTATAACCGAACGTTTCGGCTGTCATATACCTATGTTGACCGTTAATCAGGCCAATGGTCCACCAACCCTTTTGTTGATTCTGTGATATAATATCGCCATTTGTATGATTTAACTCATAGGTCTGGCCGTTCATGGTGTTCTCTAAGGAATTAATAATCGGTGTTGGAGCAATGATGACGACTTTTCTTTTTAACACCCAACACGCAGAGAATTCAAAACTTAATGCGAATTCACACGCCTAGCAATATTAATCTTTTGGAGCAGTGAGGGTGCTTATAAACGAGAAAGCCACTCAATAAGGAAGATAATACTTGAGTGGCTATCACTTGGAGGTTAAGTTTACAAGAAATGCTCTTCCGTTCCGTACGAACCTAAAATGACAAGCAAACAAATAAAGTTTTATATAAATGTGCAGAAGTGCAAGTAAAACAATCACAATGCAAACAGATATGAGTTAAGTTGGTTAAAGGAAAGACATTATTCTAAATTTTTTATGTAAATGTTTTATGTAATGTTATTATATTTATATTTTGATATGCAACTGGTATCCCAATAATCGATGACTCGTTTAAACGTTTAAAACAATTTTTCCGATATTTATTTCTTATTTCAGAAGAGAAGGAGACAAAAATGTTCTTGACGAACATTTAAGGGAATAATTACAACGCAAACTGACGGACAGACGAGTATACAACATACATAATTCGTTTTTCACTTTAACCAGAACCTTAACCAAACTAATTATAATCTCTGTGACTGGCTGAATATATGAAATAAAAAAAACCCTATGACCAACGATCTGGTGGTCATAATTCTAATATACGGTAAATGATTTATACAAATTACTGAGAAACTTTTGAAAATTGTTATTTGATTAACACCTTCTTTTAAACAGAACAATTTAAACATCTTCTTAATCAAGACATCTTATATAAAAAACTAAGTAAACGTAGGCAGTTTGATAGATTTTCTTCTCAATATACATACGTGCAGTTTTCCAACATTATAAGAAAAAGAAAAACTTAAAAAAGAAACTGTGTAAGCCAGGTTTTTTTATTTTGCAATTATTTTTTTTAGGTAAAAAATAAAAATAAAAAACAAACCGCAAGATATACTAAAAATCCATGGAAAAATCCATGCTTACCACCCTGTTAGAATTTCATTCAGTATGTCGGCTAACCAAGCAACCGTTCATTTGCTTAACTGGCTCTACTACTTTTCACTCGATAAACCTAAGCACCGATCGACTGACCGACTTATTGTCTTCACCTTCCGCATACTTAGTATTAGAGAAATTACGTATCTACAGCTGTGAACATATGTGTAGTTTGGTATTGTTCTTGTTTTAACGACAAAGCAACCCAACAAAAATACACATTTTGCATGCCGTAGATTAAGTTTATATTTCATACTCAAACATATACGCAAAGCCTTAGCAAAAAGATATATTATCTTCTTCATATGTAAAGTGGATGTGGGAGCAGAGCGGTTTCTTCTTCGCCCTTTCTCTGTTTTTCCCTTTCTTTTTTTCCCGTATATCAAAACTATTTTATTTAAACCTTTGCACTCTGAGTGTTTTTTTACTCAAAAGCGCGACAACTCCGTGACATTTTTGCGTTGGAGCATCTGAAAAATGAACTTCTGTTGATCTGTAGTTATAAATTTATTTATTTAACTCATGTAGTTTGTGATAAAAGAAATACAATTCGATATTTATAGTTTGTAATTCAACTTAGCGTGATAATTGTGAAAACAAGCTCCCATATGCATCCGTGGCTTATTTGAACATGTGTCACAATATTCGGTTGTTTCCCGTATTCCAGAATTGCTTTTGCGCTTGGAACATACTATACAGTCCTTTTTTGTACCCCCTCGCATTGCATGAAGTTTTCCATTTAACCTGTCTTCGGAAATGCTGCTGCAACTTTTTTTGTGCGTTTCACCCGGAAACCGTCTATTAGTTCGTCGGCCAACTGTTTCACAAATTTTAAGTGTGTTTTTAGTTTTTGCCCATTCTGTTTTTTAATGGTTTTATAGAGGATATACGCATTGATTATACATATTTCCATCCCCCAAAAAAATAACTTTCGCCATCACTTGAGAGATTTTCTTAGGAAGCAATAAATTGATCCACATTGATCAGCCCGATCTACACCACCCATTGAATGTGTGTAGTCGAACACAACGTTAGGTTTACTGACTATTACTTCTGTCCCACCTCGAATATATCTCTTGGTAGATGTCATTCCACTATTATTCCAGGTACTCAATAAAGTTACAACCCATTCATCCTTCCAAGCTAACTGTGTTATATTTCCTTTTCTTTTAGTAACAGTTGTTTGATTTTCACTGACATCAAAACTTTCCCAATAATCTCCTTCTTCCATGTTTTCTCAAGGGTAAATCTATCTAATATAAAATAAAATTCAAAATTCGCTAGTCATTGAATGCAATGGCGCAATAGCACCGCCCACGGAGTGCAAAGGGTTAATTAACAATTTATACAAGATTCGATTTTTGTTTTTAATTGAAAAACATTCTATCTTAGTTACCTTATGATTAATAAGTATAAAACCTCAAAAAAGTGAAAAAAAGAAAATTTAATCGGTTTTAACTTTATGTGGGCATGGCCAAATTTTCCATTTTTGTACACAAATAGTAGAGTTTTTAGTAAAGTAAATATGGAAAATTTCAGCATTTTGTTTTTTATAATTTCTGAATAATGAGCAAAAAACCACAAATTTTTGTTTACAAAAACGAAGCTGCGTTCAGTTTACGCTTTACTGGGGGCGTGTGCTCTGACCAATTTCGTCCATTTTTAACTCCAAAGTGTGCAAAAACTTCCAATGTTGCTACCAAATTTGCGACCTGGAGAATGTCAACAACACCAGACCCTACGGACGGACAGACATGGCTTAATCAGTTAAAACTCGGAATAGCTGCTCCACATATACTTTATATGGTCTCCAAAGTTTTCTTTTGGGTGTTGCAAGCATTATGACAAAATAAGTGTATTCCCTATCCTTTAGTGGTGGGTATAAAAAAACGAAGAGAGTTAAGAGTTTTGGCGTTCCAAATGTAGTTAATTCTATTAGACGTATCGATAATGTGCAGACAGTTGGTGTGTAGAAAGGTCAAGTAAATAACTAAATTTTTCTCTATGTATAATCAACGTTATTAAAAAAAAGGAACCATGAAATATATTATTCAAAAGAAAATAGGATAAAAATTATAAAATTAACTTAAATCAAATGCCCATGTCCTGTTTCACTTTGATTGACATTGAAGAAAATATGTTTCGTTAAAAAGTAAGAAAGGTATATTTGTCAACGGATCTATTTGGAATTTCCTTCCCAGCAATGGTTTGCAATTGTGATATTTATATCGAACCGCTAGCTATAATCTAGATGCAATCTTCCCTTTGTAACACTAAGAACAATATGCCAGAGACGCACTGATGAATGTATGTATATATATACATATATATATATATATATATATATCTTGAATATACATACAATTTCAAATTAACGGGCGTTTATCCGCTCATCCATTTATCTCTTCTGTTAAAAATATCAGTAACGTACAGCGAAACTCCCAAAATAATGCTAACCCGCACCTATATGTAGATTTTTGTTAATTGTCAATACTTTTTTAAGGCCACTTTAGCACTTACGCTGAGTCGGCCTTAGCCCAATAGATTATGTATTCATAAAAAAAATAAAAATAGAACAAAAGGAAAAAATGAAAGTTCGATATCTTATAACATTAGCCGGCCGAGTGAGGATGGAAATTTTTGTTATTGTGTGCGTTGTAGTTTATATGTAACGAGCAAAAATTCATTTTTTATCTTTGTTTCCATTCGGAAAACAGAGTTGAGTTTATATAATACTACAGGCGTGTGTTTTGTAAACGATTTGGCGTATTTTTTATACCAGTCTGACAGCAATAACTTTCAATGTTTTTGCGAAATTTAAAGCTGGTCTTTTAATTTTCACGACTTATAGAGTGTTCATCAAATATGCATACACCCGTACAGGCAGATACGTCTAAAGAATAACCAATCTGTAGGAACATGCAAGCGCGCTTCTGAATATTGCAAACAATGCGAATGTCTGGCGGTGTTGAATATAAGACGAGGAGGAGAAAGCACGACATTCTATCCATGTCGACATCCATATATCCATTGTAATCGTGATCGTTATTTTAATACTCTAATATATAGAGAAGCGAAACGATTAAACTGATTAAATTGATTCCTTGCCCGCATTGTAACTACATATATAATGCAAGTGATTTCTGATGCCTGTTGCGATCCGCTATAAACATACAATCCATTTTAAGTTGCTTTATATATATATTAAATCTGAAAATATAACAGGTTTTGTCATTAACAGTTTAATTGATGTTGTGAATTCGGGTTCAAACTATTCACGAAATGGCAGCACAAACTGATTATTAAAAAATTCCAGCAGCACGCGGCAATATAGGCTAATTGAAACTAATCCTGGGTGTGATTATGTAGGAACTATTGCAGTGAAGCTAAGAAAACAATATAAGCAAGGATTTACGCTTCCCGTACACTTAAGTCTTTATTTAAATTTATGAAGAACGGTTATAAGGAGCTTTCCTGCTTTTTGGATCTCTTTTATATTATTTAAGATTGCATTGATTCAACTAATGCCTTGTATCTTATCATCAGCAATTTATCCAGCGGTCATTAGTATCACAGTATTTCACAATCCAGAAAAGTCCTCCATATATTTGTACATCAAGCATAATCGGGCGATAATGAACATTGCTCAATGCGTTGTTGGCAGTTGTACACTAGTTTTCTTTAGAGCGAGTTTCTTTTGTTTTACTTTTTTCACTATATACCAAAGAAAAGAAGTTTAAGCCATCACATTTTTCCAGACATGTTACAAGCCAAAAGACAGAATTCTTAGAACAACACCGAAATCTTATATATCGTTTTTAATAATTTTACTCATCCATTTCCTAAGCTACACAATATTTTATTGAAAAACTTTTAGGCGACAACGCCTTTGTTTCTTGCAAATAAGTAAACAAAGACAAATAGAGTTGATTGCGTTGAGCAAGATAAACGAATAAATAATGAGAGAACTATATACGGCTCTGAGCGCGTCTTTTATACACTCGCCACTTTTATTGTAAAGAAGAAAAGAGAAAACGAGCAAAAAAATTAATTTCGATACTCTATACTACTGGGCGGACGTTACTCATTTTTTTCCGGTTCTATGAAATATTCGTGAAAGCAGAGGAGCTCTTAGTTTATGTAACAATCCCACGTGTCCCACGCGTCCCACGTTTAATACCAACCTACGTGCAAGAACTTGCAACTTTCAAAGTG